TCACTCTCCAGGGATCACTCTCCAGGGAGGATGGCCATGCCACAATCCCTTCTCCATTCTCCTTTTACACACACACACACACACACACACACACATGCACCTGGCATGAGGTTTAAGCCACTGGGTCCAGGATTCAAATGGCAGTCAAAATGGGAGTCCTGTGAGCTAACCACAATGCCACCTGCTGGCCCTCCTTCTTATTTTCCACAGCACAGATATGATCCCTCCTAGCTGATCAAAGACCTCAGTGAGCCTTTGCATCTTTGCATCTATTCAAATCTGAAACATAATAATAGGTTGGTACCATCAAGGCAGATATTATTCACCATATTGGTCACAAGTATACTAAGTATAAAGCAATGGAGTACACATATTAATCTGTACCCAATTAATATGAAGTAAGGAAATTTAACATAAATAATTCAGAACAATTTAGTACAATTCAGAAAGCACATACACAACTTACCTCCTTGGATTCCCTTAGCAGTTGCCGTTTTACCAGCATTATCAAGTCCCACCATCACAAGAGTCACCTTTCTTAAAATAATAAAAAATATAAAATCACTTTCTTTGTCAATTTAGTACTGGGAGAAAAAAGCAAATTCATTCATTCAAGCAACATATAAGCAGCACCTACTGTATACACAATAGTATGGTCTGCTAGACACTAAGGTGTTTGATGATGAATAAAATAATACATTTAAAAGAGAAATTCATCCTTTAAAACATCATCCTTTTTTCTCGAAGCAAATAAAGTAACATTGTACAATAGATAATCCAAGGGATAGAGAAGAAATTGGGGGAAAAAGAAAGAGAAAAGGGAGGTAGAGACATGGAGTCTCAATCTGAATTCGTTTACCATGGCTACAGACTCAATTAGTTCTAGGGATTATCACAAATCTGTTCAATTTATGAAACTAAATAAGAAAATAATTCTTGCTAGGTCTTATGCTCAATTTCATTTTTAGACCTGCAGTTACCTTGTCAAATACAAATTATAAATAACATGATTATTAATTTAAGTATTAACTGTGTTTTTTTTTCTTTTTTCTGTATAAGTTTTTGCTATAGGGTGTGAGTGCTCGCCAGAAAGACAGAGACAGAGAGACAGAAAGCGAGAAATCATTCCCTTGGGGGATGGCCACATTATCCTCCATACTCCTCTTGGGATCTTGGGCACACATGCACATGCGCCTGGAGTGAGTTTAAGCCACCGGGTCTGGGACTTCAATCGCGGTCGACATCATGGGAGTCCAGCGACATAGCCATTACACCAACTGCTGGTCCCAAGTATTAACAGTTTTGAAAAAGGGTTCCTGCAAAGTTTAGTTTTAAACTGTAAAGTTTAAAATGTTTCTGATGATATTGCTAAACTCCACAGTGAAAAGAATATAAAAAAAAAAAAAGAAACACAATCTAGTTCAATTTTACAACCTAAGAAACACAAGTCCAGATAAATTAAATAATTTGTCAAAGATCACACAATGAATCAGTTAGAGTCAGAACCTGGTAACCTAACTCACCTAACTCCTAGGAACTTCTCAGATTTGGGTCAGGTATAAAGGAACAAATCTATCACAACTGTCCTATTAATTTGGTGATTCAGCCAGTCCATCAATAAGCCTCATTTCTGCTGCAGACTGAGTCTTTGCACAATGTAAGAGGAAGACAGTCCATTACCACCATGGATTTGGGAAAGCATACTAGAATACAGAGAGAAAGCCACAGTTTAACATAGTTACCATGTTAAAACTACTCTGACAGGGTAGAGTCAGGATTTCTGCCAAGTGTAGTCATTCCTCATTGGCCACCATCTCAAAGATAGCTAAAAACAATACTTAGGTGGCAGGAAAAGGTATTCTGTAATCTTTCTAGGACTGACTCTCTTGTGGACATTTTTGTTAAATTTTAATTTCATATGTATTGAAAGGGTTCATACAACAAAGAGACAGAACAGAGGTGAGGATGTGACAGCCCAACTGTGTCTTACAAACTGAGGAAGAACCAACTCAGTCTTAACTAAAAGCCAAACTGGCGCTTCATTAAATAAATCATCTTCTATATATCAGACAGCAGTGTTCTAGGTACTTGAGATACACCTGTTTATTAAAGCAACTACCACCACAAAACACAAAAACAATAAAATTCTTTTTTAAGTTAACATTTTAGTAGAAAGAGATAGACAAAAATAATGTAAATAGATCAAATGTAAATTATATAGTATGTTAGAAGGTGATTAACTGTGGACTTTTTTTTTTTTTTTTTTTACTATGAATAAAAAAGAATAAAGTAGAGCAGGGTAAAAGGAACCAATAGTGGGATAGGAAGTAGGGGCAATTTTATATAGTAGAGGATGATCAGGCAGGTCTCCCTGAGAAGGTAGGATCTAGGCAAGGACTCGAAAAAGGGAGTTAGTCACACATACAGCTGGTGCAAGACACTAACGTGGTAGGAATTCCCAAGCAGGGATGCCCAACATCAGCAAGGAGGCCACTGTGGGCAAAAGAAGTGAGAAAAGGGCAGAGAAAGTCAGGAGGTTCAAAACTCCATAGGGACCAGCTCACAGACTGCCTTTCAGGCCACAGTGAGAGCTCTGACTTACAAAGTAAGTGAAATGAATTGACTCTCCATGTTAATTCCCTTTGTTACCCAGGAATCATAGAACTTTTTTTTGAGCGAGATTTTTTTTTTTTTTTTTTGTTACAGGCAGCATGCACCTGCTTAAGACACGGAGAGAGAGAGAGTGAGAAATCACCCCCTCCTGGGGTGGGGGTGGATGGCCGCACTGCAATCCCTTCTCCTTTCTCTGGCCGCACTGCAATCCCTTCTCCTCTTGAGATTTTGGGCATCCACGCACACATGCCCAATGAGAGTTTCAAGTCACCAGGTCGGGACTTTAACCACTATGCCACCTGCTGGCCCTCACAGTCCTTTTTAAATGTTTCAAACATTCCATATGCATCATGAGGAATAAACAGAAGTTAAGCACACAATTGATTCAGTGCAAGAATAAGATAAATCAAAATAAGCAACATTACCAGACCCATTCTCAACTGGCTGGTGGTGAGACCAGTGGGAATACCAAAACAAGTCACGGATTATGACTATATAGAGACGAGATAGTATATAAGGTCTAGGTACTTCTAGCCATGAGAAAATTTTACTGCATTACGTCCTTTTGAAAATATGAATTTACTTCCTACCAAGGCTGTGAGATATTTAGAATAATACCTTGTTACTAAATGTACAGTGAGCTAGACTAAAATTATCTTAATATTAAAGCTAATCCAATTGTTCTTTAATTATTTATAATGTAAATTTCAAGATCTACAGTGTTTTAAACATTACCATGAACCAAAACAATTACTTTTGGGAAATGAATTTCTGTATTCTGCTTGTGTGCATCATTTATTCTACAAATATTAAGCATTCATTACACAGCAGCAAACAAACATTTATTATTCTTAGCCCTTTTAAGCCTTAGAGCCTTGTAAGAGAAGAGGCTTTACAGTAACAGTAATTACAGTAATGTGTGTAACCATTACTTCTTTACTTCTGCAGCAGGCTGTCTCCTGCTCTCTCTTCATTGGCTCCTGATGCTTTCTAAACAAAATAGAGTAAATGACTAACCAGAAAAGGTGGGAATGGGAAAGCACTGGCAGCCATTTATGTCAGAGCAGGTGACAGAGCCTACTTTGGAAGTTGAAAATCAGAAAACAAACACCAATTAAGTCAACAGTTTCTAAAATCATTACGGGATTTTTTTTTTTTTTTTACATCTCTTATGAGCCAAACTAAAAATTCCCTAAAACACCTTCTCATGGAAAACGATCACTTATTCTGTATTACACAGGTGCATTCATGTTTTCTCCATTCTTGTCAAGATTTAAGTTTAAAGAAATGTCATTGGTGGTTAAGGCACCCGACCCCACATGGTCCACTGCACTTTCCAGTCCTAGAGCTGGCAGCTTGAAAACCACAGTGACAAATGCACATACATGCCGAACGTTCTGAAAGGAGGGAGAAATGGAGGAGAAGGGTATGTGTGTGACCATCCCCTACTGGGAGTTTTTTTCTCATTCTCTTTCTCTCCAGTAATCATACACCACCTCTAACAAAAACCAACCAAACAAAAATCCAAATACACATCGGGTACACATTTTGAAATATTTCTCTTTAAAGCTACAAAAGATGCTAGCTTTTATCTTAAGAGATTGCTCCCCCCCCCCTTTTTAAAATAAGCTATTAGGTTCGAACAAAAAAATTCCTTCAAATATGAAAAATCACTTTAAAAATGATAATCATGCTGAGACTGAAACAAAATTAATCTCTTTGGATTTCTATTTTTACTTTGACTACTATTGCAACTATTAAATTTTTGTGATTATGCTATATATGTGAAAAAAGGCTTTAATTAAATATTTGAGGTAATTAAAGCCATACTGAATAAACCTAACGTTAGCAGTGTAAATAAAAATCACAGCATGAATTACTGCAGTCCCTAATAATAACACATTAGATTTACACTTTGACAACGGAATGAGTTTAAAAGGTTTTTATTCACCTAAACCTCAATATTCTATGCAACTCTTTAAATCAATAAAGATGGGGCCAGCAGGTGGCATGGAGGTTAAGGCACTGGACTCCCACATGGTCAACTACAGTTTGAAGTCCCAGACCTGATAGGAGTCCCAGACCTGGTGATTTGATTTCTTACTTTCTCTCTCTCTCTCACCTCTCATTCTTTCAAACTCTTTGCTGAGTGCATGTACCCTATAATATATTAAAAAATAATAGTAATAAATAAAATAATTTTTAAAATAATAAAGATGTACAATCTGTTTAACCCATGTTAAAATGTACACACCAACAGCTTTTTAAAATATGGTATATTATCACAGAAACAGTTTGGCTGCAGTGCTAGATGACAAAAGAGAGATGAAAGATTTTTATGCCTCTTTTAGACTTATAATTACGGATCAAATACATTCACCCTTCAAATTGAAAAACAATACAATATTATGTTTATAATATTTTTAAAAGTTGACAGGAACAGCAGATGGCATGGAGCTTAAGGCAGCTGGATCCTACATAGTCAACTGCATGATATGCATTCTGGACTTGGGGGCTTTAAAAACACGCTGGACATGTTTGTGTGCATGCCCCAAATCACAAGAGGAAAACAGAGGACAAGGGACTGCAGCATGGCCATCCCCTCTGGAGGGCCCTTTTTAACTTCCCTTCTCTCTTCATCTCCAGAGAACACATGCCCTATAGCAAAAAAAAAAAAAAAAAAAAAAAGTTGACCCTAGTGGGCTGGCCTAATGGTTAAGGGAGTCAGATCCTACATGACCAACTGCATGGTTTTAATCCCAGCCATGGTGACTTGAAAAACATGCCAGGTGCATGTGCATGCAATGCATGCCCCAAATCCCAACAGGATGGAGAAATGAAGGGATGTCTCAAATCCCAACAGGATGTAGAAATAGAGCAGGGATTGTGGAAGGACCACAACCAATGGGGTGGGAGGGGTACTT